AAAATGTATATGAATTGTTAAAGGGAAACGAATTTGTTCTATAAACTTTCACCCAAATCACAATAAAAAGTTTATTTTTAAAATTCCTATCTTGATATCATAGATCCAGTGGCACGTGTTTGGGAACACTGAAATCTTTAGTATCATTTTACAAGCTGGTTAAGTAAAGGGTCTGTGATTTGCAGACATGGTGGATTCTGTAACATGTCCTCATTAGGAGACCCTAAGATTTTATAGTAACAAATACAGTAACAAATTTGGAGTTTCTATATAACCTTGTAATTTAAAGAAGGCACCTAGGCCTGTACTCTGGGAATGATGCAGTCAGGAAAAGAATAGCTCAGTCTTTGCAGATATTCAGTTTGATATATTTGAATTAATTTACAAAAAATAACAGCATAATGGAATTAAACAACCTCCACATAACATTTCCTTGGAAACCATATACAAAGTCGCTATGAGTCAGAACCAATTCCACAGTACTTAACAACAACAATATAACATTTAGACTCAGCATATTTTTATTTCTAGAACTCAAAACACTCCTTTTGTCTGCTTCTGGCATAGATGTCTAAGAGAACAAAATTCCCAAGAGGAAAGGCTGCAGGGAGGGGACAAAGATTCTTCATAGTAGACATTGGCTATACTTGATAGAAAGAATAAAGCACATTTAAGATTTGCTCGTAATAAGGTTTGCTGCCAAAAATTAACCATAAACAACCTGCTCTTATTTTCATAAAGTGAGTAAACAACAAAAAGACCCCAAGAGGCCCATGAGAATAATACATTTGAGTAGAACACTGTCTTCTTCTTCTCCAGTGCTTGAAAAGTCTAAGATGAGAGCTTCATGGCTCCTTGTACTAACCTGGGTAACAGCTTGTCACCAAAAGAGATATGGAAAGCTGGAGTATACTAGGACCAGTTTTGATAGGGACTGTGCCTTACACATTATACCTTTGTGCATATTTTGTATGTGAGAAGGGGGTGGGGTTTCTTGCTTTGGCTTGGTTCCTCATCTTCCTGTACAGATAGGACAGTTGACATTCAGATACTGCAAGTTGATGGTATGAAAATGTCTCAAGCCTGTCCTCTGGGAACAGGAGGAAACTATAGTTGAGCATAGAGGACAGAGATTATAGTTTATAGCCATCCTCTGGGTGAAGGGGGTCCTCAAAGAAGTCACCCATCTCTTCCTGTTCCACTTGCCTTGAGGGTCTCACCACCTAAAATGTCAGGTGATAGATCAGTTAAGAACATATCTGGAGTTAGCATAATGGTCTAAGAGAGGTTCAAGCTATAAGGAATACCAGTTGGAATAGAAGTAGACTGAGATCTGAAATAGGCGTGTGGAGGATGGTTGACCAAGATACCTTTTCAGAGTAACATGGATGCTCTTGCCCAATATCAAAGGCAAGGACACAGAGAAGTAACAACAGTCTTGAGAAAATAGCAAGGGTTATAATTTTGGAAGTTATATCTAGCAGAGAATAGATTGGAGTGGTAGTTCTATATGGTGTGGTTGTTGTTGTCAGGGGCCATCAAGTCGGAACCGACTCATAGCGACCCCATGCCCAGCAGAACGAAACAATGTCCGATCCTGGGCCAACCTCACTACCGCTGCCACACTTGTGTCAATCAATGATGCCACCTGGCCAATCCATCTCGTT